AATGCACTTGCCCATAATACTATATAAAGAACACCCAATTAGATATTGATGAAGGGGACCAGCAGTTAGCGTAATGGCTGTGTCGCTGGGCTCCCATATAGTCGACTGTGGTTCGCATCCCCGACCCGGTCGGTGGCTTAAAACTCATGCCGGGTGTATGTGCATGTGTGCCCAAGATCCCGAGGGGAGAATGGAGGAGAAGGGATTGCGGCATGGCCATCCCCCTGGGGGGTGATTTCTTGCTTTCTGTCTCTCTCTCTGTCTGTCTGGTGAGCACACACGCCCTATAGCATAAACCTCTTAAAAAAAAAAAAGGTATTGATAAATTTCTATCCAGAGCTGAAAAGAACCATAGATGGGTTTGGGAGAACAAATGTTTCATTTCCAGTGAGCAAATGTACCCTATGAAAAAAATCTTTAAAAAAAGGAAAATGAAAAACCATATTGTGGTCCGAGAGGAGAATGGAGGAGAAGGGATTGCAGCGTGGCCATCCCTCCTGGGGGGTGATTTCTTGCTTTCTGTCTCTCTGTCTCTCTCTGTCTGTCTGATAGCACACGTGCCCTATAGCAAAAATCCCTCAAAAAAAAAAAAAACTCATATTGTGTATGATAGAGATGTGCAATGATTGATGGTAAGAAAGTACAAAGTATTAAAACAACAAAGTAGTCTCACATGAGTTAATTTTATATGCTAATATTTTGCAGTATTTAGTATAGTTTGCAAAGTTAACATATTTCTGTAATAATTTATCTGTAATTATTTTGTACTTACCCTCTGGATAATTGTAATATTCTGATTCAAGCTTTTATGGTACCCACAGGTAACTTTGTTAATTACACATCTTCCATTTTATGGATCGATTTTAACATGGTCCACTATGAGATCTAAGATTGATACTGTCTTACCCAGCAACGGTTTGCTAAAATTTCTTGCAGCTGAAACTTGCTAAAATTCACAGCAACTCTACTGACCTTTTCAAATATGAAGGGTTCCATAACAAGCAGATGTAAGAACATGCATCTGACAGTGTTGAGTGTTAAGAAACAGTTTAATTTTCAAATATCAGGGCACACTCATAGGACCAATGAAGGATATCAACATGCATGAACAGAAAAAAAAAAGTATAGTAATGAAGAGTATGATGTGGAAAACAGACTTTCTTTAGATATTTTATAATTTTTTTGTGACTCTGCTTTATCATGAGAAGAAAAAAGAACTCGAGATCAATTTAGAGTTATTTTACATATTGTACATAGCATAAAGTTTCAGTAACCTTTGTTTTAGGGAAAAATATGGTTTTCATAATGGGTCCTGGATTTTTTTAAACACTGAGAGGAAAACTCAGGGCTTGGTGTTCTTCAGAAGAGGATAAAATCACAGCCCCAGAATCTGCAATTCCTCCTCCAACTGGCTCATCTTCAGAGAACAATGTTTGAAGGAGTCATTATCTCTTATTGGTACACCCTGTGGGGATTTTTAGCATAACAATCAACTCTGAATTAATAGTCTTTGGCTTTTTATTTTTTGGAGGCTATTCCAATGAATGAGATTCCTGTTTCTATGGTGTGGCAAGGAGCTGTTTTAGCACTTTGTGAGGCTCAAAATTCTAAAATATTTTAAGAATGCTTGAACTTGGCTTCATCTGAGGGACTTGCATCCCCAAATGTTAATTCTCTGTAGTGCAGAAATTGCAAACCTCACCGATGAGAGACTGAGAAGTCTCTTAGAATTTATTTAAGTGAAGAAGGAAGGTTTATCAGTGACATGCTTGTGGAACGCACAACTCAGTGTCAGGAGGTTTGATGTTCATGCCATGTTAGCTATCCTTTGGTCCACTGGCCATAATAGTTGCCAACTAAAGATCCAATCTGAGGACAGTTTGAAATTTGGATACTTAAAAAAGTAGATCAGAGTTGTTTGGAGGTTGGTAGAGCTGGGCTGGAGGCCTGTAAGCAGAGCTGTCACATCGCACAAACAAATTTGCTATTTGGACAAATACTATGACGAGGAGTTTGAGTACCGGCATGTCATGTTGCCCAAGGACATAGCCAATCTGGTTCGTAAAACCCATTTGATGTCTGAATCTGAATAGAGGAATCTTGGTGTTCAGCAGAGTCAGGGATGGGTCTGTTAAATGATCCATGAACCAGGACCTTGCTGTTCCGGAGGCCACTGCCCAAGAAGTCAGACACGTGAAGCTGACAAGCCACTTTTCAGTGTCCAGATCTACACAGCGTCCTTACTTTCTAACATCTTTCTGATAACCTGATCATGTCGCCTTCCTGTTTCTCACTTCGATATTTAAAGGATATTCAATACACTGTTTGAATGTGCTGGTCATTGCTTTGCTTCTTGAGTAGAGCCCAAACCACTATAGCCCAGCTAGAAGAGTGCTTTGGGCCACCGAGTATGACCCCAGGAGCCATGGTGCCATCTGTCTCCAGAAGAACATGTTTGATGGGTGGAGGAAGCATCTGAGAATGATCCAGGGATCATGTAAACTTGCTTTTTTTTTTTTCCCCTGCTGGGTGTTTTATGTATGGTGACTTGTGGATTTATATTTCAATATATTGGAAAATTTTCATTTTATTCAAGAAATCTGTTCCATGTTCAAAGCCTTGATTAAAGAGGAAGTTTTTATGACTGGAAAAAAAAAGTAGATCACGCAACTTCTTTATTGGGTCTATCTGAATTTGCTGTGCTCTTTCGATGTTTTGCTGTCAATTCCTCAAATTTTCTCCTCTGTAAAACTGACAGTGATATTCTCTCAGGAACCCTTTAGACCTGTCTTACTCTGCATTTCTACACCACTTTGAGCAGCATATATTATTTCATTAAGTGTCTGTGTACACGTCCTCAGTGCCCAAGTACCCAAGGGCCCAAGCCTGGAATCATGACCAGAGTTGTCAAGTCCCGTGATTGTTTGTTGTTTGCCAGTGAGTGAATATGTGACAATGAAAGGCAGACACTGTTGTGTTGATTTTTCTTGAAGAAACAGGGCTGTCTGTGCTACCAAATCCCTTCACCAGCAGCCTGGAAGCTTTGGGATCATTCACAGACACAATATCTTCATTTGTTTCATGAAATTGACCTGAGATATCATGATATAAGAAATATGTCTTGCTACTGAAATCACTTGAGTAGCTTTCTACACAAGTGAAAGCATCTCTGGATTTCAAAGCATCTCAAAATATTAGAACACATTTTGGATCTTGGGCACGCACGCACACGCGCCCGGCGTGAGTTTTAAGCCACCGGGTCCGGGACACGAACCGCGGTCGACTACGTGGGAATCCAGCGACATAGCCATTACGCTAACTGCTGGTTCCCAAAATATTAGAACACATTTTACTTCCCTAAAAACCACTTGCAGGTCAGGCCAATGGAAAGTTGACAATCCTAGGTCAACTTCACCCTGTTATGTTTGAGGTACTTCATAGCCCATAAGAAAGTCTCCTTTATTTCATTATGAAGGTTCTTACCTAGGTAAGTAAAATTGGTTGGAATTGGAGGACTGAGTGCCTAACATTCCCCATTGAAATGGGGAACATGAAAAATAAAAGTCCACCAATACCTGAGAAGAAAGGGTCTGACTAAATCTTACCCAGTTCTCTGCCAATTAGTCCAGTTAGGCCTTCTACAAGAATCACCTGTCCAACCTAACTGGTCAAAGTCACAGGTCCCTAATTAGACTCCTGAAGTTAGAACTGTGCCTTCATTGTGGATTTCAGTAGGAATTAGTGAAATCACAAAGTTTATGTAAACCAACAGAGGAGAACCTGTGGAATTTCTCTTGATCAGTGGATAAAAGTTTGGGAAACCATACCTCCACATGATACACAGGTCAAACCTGTGGTATTTTTCAAAGGCCAGACCCAAGGGATTTGGCTGAGGCTTTGAATTACCTGAGGACATACACCTGGGTAGGATGTGTCACATAAGCACAGCAGGTCTACTGAGCTTTTGAAATAGGAAAGGTTCCAGAAAAAGTACAGTTAGGAATGTGCCTCTGACAGGGTTGAGTGTGGAGAAGCAGTTTACATTTTCAAGTGTTGGTGTACACTCACATGACCAATAATGGCTATCAATGTGCATGAAAAATGGATGGATAGGAATGAAGAATGTGATATGGAAAATAGACTTTTTAAGGTATTTATAAATCATTGTGTCTCTGTCATGACAAGCAAAGCAAAATGGAGACTAGTTTGTTGCTGTTTTATATGTTCTATGTGGCTGAACTATGAAACACTTTTATTTTGGGAAAAAAATATTTTTTTATAATACCTATTGGAGTTAATGAAGAATCAAGAGGGAAACCTAGGACTTGGTGTTCTTCAGGAGAGAATGAAATGAAGGTCCAAAAGATTAAAATTCCTTCTCTAAACATCTCGTTTTTAGAGAAACTTTTTTTTGTTTTAAGTAGCCATTATTTCTTTGGGTCACACACTGTGGGGATGATAACAGAATAATCAGGTGAGTACAATGGTCTTGACTTTTATTCCTAGAGGCTTCCCCAATGAATTAGATTTCAGTTTCTATTCTGTGGCAAGGAGCTCTTTCAGCAGAAATATTGTATAAATGTTTGAACTTGGCCTCAACTGAGGGACTTTTGTTTCCCAAATGTTAATTTTATATAGCGCAGAAATTTCAAACCTCTTCAGTGAGAGACACAATTGTCTATTTGAGTGCATGTGGCACAAAGGATATGTTTACCAGTGACCTGCTTCAGGGACACACTACTCAGTATTGAGGTGTCTAATGTCCATGCCACCTATCCTTTGGTCAATTGCCCAGAATGGTTGCAGACTGAGGATCAAATCCAAGGATACATTGAACTTTGTGCACTTATAAAAATCACTAGGTCAGGCACCTTGTGTATTGTGTCAGACTGATCTTTCAGTGCTCTTTGTGTGTTTTGCTGTCCATTCCCAAAACTGTCCCATTTATGAAGCTGACACAGGGATGTTCTTTCAGGAACCCTTCAGGATGGTCTAACCCTTCAGGATGGTCTTCCCCTTCATTCCTGCCTCACTTCAGGGTGAGGCAGGGAAATGGCCAGACTCACCACCTTCCTTACAGAAGATAAGCAGCACAGCACCGCCCAGCAGCTGGAGGCAGCTAAGGAGGGGAAGATGGTCAGAAACTGAAGGATAGCTGAGAAGGTAAGGATGTTCACCAGTTGTACGCCTAGCTAAGGACGGGAGGTTGTCACACCCCAAGGACAAGGAGAAAGCTGAATTCTGAATTCATTATGGTCTTTGACCGTTGCAGCCTTTCCCCCCTCACCATCCATCACCCATGCCTATGTGCTTATCATGTTGACATTTCCTGTTAGAAACCAATGCAACCTCTTACTCTACCCCGAATCAGGACCCAGATCTCAGAGTCTGAACTCCTGCGGGGCCACTGGCATAATAAATCTCAGTTCTCCTACTCTCCTAGTGGTGCTGGGTTTCTTGGCATTCTGGTTCCCTGACCGAGAAACCCATTGTGCTGGCCCCGTGAGCCACCGGGTTAGTGGTGGGAAACTTCTGGGGCAGACAGGCACCAGGGCAGAATGAGGCAGTGCCACCTGGTTTTCTTTTGGGCTCTCCTTTACCTGGGAGTGGCCCCAGTGTCCCATGAGAGCTAACTCCTCAACCAGACTCAAAAGGAGAGATGAATCAGTTCTCCAGAAGGCTCTTCAGGATCTGATAAGTTTGTGAGATATTAGACCCAGTCAGACCCACCAAGTACAGGAGAAGAGGAGGTGTAATCACCCTCCTGTGGTCAAAAGGCCACCCAGATAGGGACCTCGCTAAGGAAGGAGGCACTATTTTTAATTTCCGGAATGAAACATGTATGAATGTGAGTGTGTCTGTGTGGCTCCACAGCTTCCAGCTATGGAGCCTGTTTAGGTCCTAACCTGTTTGCCATGGTGACCTCATAAAGCTCAGAGCAGTACTTGGCACTGGGGGATTCTCCCTGCATCCCAGTGCTAGCTGAGGGTTTATAGCAGATTATTGAAGCTAAGAGGCACTCAGTGGTTCAAAGGAGATGGCCAGGTGGACACCTGAATGGTCACTTCTTCAGAAGAGGCACCCATCCTTTTTAAGCATCTCTGACACAGGTGGGCAACACTGGGTGAGAAATAACCTGTTAAATGTCTGGCAGGACCCTGTATCCCAGAGCCTTAGGACCCCTCTTCTTTAAAAGGCTTGCAAAGGAGGAAATAGGTTTGGAGGCAATAGCCATTCTTGGCCACAGTCCCCCACAGTCTGAGGACTGTGTTTTTGCATGAAGTCTACTGGCTCCAAAACACAGAGCCCTTCTTAAGGCCAAAACTTAAAGTCCTGACCCTCTACCTCTTTTGCCAAAGGCCGGCAACTCCAACCCAGGCCAAAGAAGTCTGGTTTCAATATCAGAAAGACTTCACCTGCAAGCTGGCCTGCTTCCTTCAGGCATTCTCCATCCTCATGGGGGGATGGCAGGAGTCCAACCCCAGCCATGTTCCTGCATTACCCCTATCACTTCTACCTCTGCAACTCCACTGCTGGGAACCTCTATCAGTCCAGTCAGCATCAGAACCTCTCCTGTTCAGTCTGGAATCTTTGGCAAGCTTGATCTTGACCTGCCTTCTAGAGCCAGCAGTTTCTAGGGCATTTTGGGAGGTTTTTGTCTTCAATGAGTGGTAACATCAACAATTCCTGGGATATGAATGGCAAAACCAGGTCCACTAAACAGTATTGTCACTGAGGCTGTCAAGACCAACCACCACTGCCATGGGGAAATTACAATCCAAGCCCACAGTTATGGACTGCATGGTTAGATACTTCATGATGGGATTCTCTGGAGACAGTGGGATCGGAATGATTTCAGTTAAATTTCACACCCTCTGTGAGCAGGAGTGACCTGGCTTCAGTGTGGGATGGCCCTTAGAGGAACTTTCCACTTGTATAACATGTGGACGTTCTACCAGAGGGTGACTGGAGATCTTGGCTACCCAGATCAGTTTCCCTCCATTGATTCATGGCTGAAAGTATTCCAGGCCTTGCCCCCATGCATCCAGTTCTGTTCAACCAGCAAAGGACAATGCAAGGTCCAGGTCTCAGAATGAGCAATGCTCTTCCAACCAAAGACAGGAGCTGTCCCTATTTTCCAGGGTGACCCTGAAGAAGATCTAATCCTTCCACCACCATACATTCCTACAGTGCTTTTACCACCACCAGCACCTGAAACCCCACCATATTGGCATAACCCTCTTCCCCTCCTCCTATATCCTCTGGGGTCCCACAGCCTCCAAGCCCAGAGGCAGAAGGCTGAAGACTCTTCTCCACCTGAGAAAGACCTGACCCCAACCTCCAACTGCCACTTTGGGAAACGCAAGGACTCTCACAAATGGGAATTGATGGGTTGATCAAGGAGGGAGGAGCCTTCTTTCATTATCAACCCTTCATCACTATAGATCTTCTAAATTGGAAACACTATACTCCACCCTATTAAGAGGAGCCCCAGACCCTAACTGAACTCCTAGAATCCATTTTCCAGATGCATCAGCCAACGTGGGGCTACTGCCACCAACGTCTCCTGATGTTTCTCAAGACAGAAGAACACCGCTGGACTATTACTGAAGCCTAGAAATGGCTCCAGGATGACCCGGTTAGCACTTTAGACCCTGAGGTATGGGCCAGGATAGCTCCTCCAGACAACAAGCCAGATTGGGACTGTAATTCTGAGGCAGGTGGGCCAACCTTGACCAGTACCACATGGTGCTTCTCCCTGAGGTAAAAGCAGGAGCAAGAAGCCAACCAACATGGCCAAGATAACTACTGTGCCCCAAAAGACGTAAGAGTCACTAGATGAATTTTACAAAAGGCTCTGTGAGGCCTTCAGAATATATATACTCTTTGAGTCCCAGACCAGGCAACTTGCTTTCTCACTTTCTCTCTATATCTATTATGCAAATTGAAAAGAGTAATAATAATAAAAATAAAATTGAATAAATAATTCTTAAAGAAAATGTGTCTGCAATGCCTGGGGCTGTCCTTCCAGAGAGAAGACATCTTTTCACTGGTTTCCCTCCTGCCTGCTGACTGGAAACTCATTCTAATGCCAGCAATGAATAACTATTCCAAATGAGGAAGAAGATGTGGTGAGACAAGTTGGAGACATGGATCCCTGGTGACTATCGAAGCCACTGTTACTTGGGGTTTCCTTTCACTGCCAAACTCAACCCTATCTAATGGGCCCACCCTGGCACCAATATGAACCAAGAGAATCTACTCAGGCCTCCTAGTAGGTCTGCAAAGTCACTGTATTTGTAATCTCATTGGAGAAGAAAATGCTCATCTTTTTCCCTGAGGTTATGATTTACCTCTGCATTTTCTAACTCTAGGATCAGTGAAGAATCATATCTAGTATACAGCTAATCTTCAGGAAATGGATGTCAGGTAAACTACCTACATGTGATATAAGAAGAGACTGAGGAAGATTTAGTTGTAGTGGTGTGTAACTAGTCACTCTACAAATAGGACGTGAACACTATCTACCAGGCACTGGCAAAGGCCCAGGGGTACAGCAATAGACATCAGCCTGACTCTACTCACATGCCACCTCATGAGAAAGGCCTTTCTGACCACCCTGTCTAAAATGATAAAGCCTCAATATATCTCTGTCTCTTGGTCCTAATGATTTATTTATTTTATTACCAGAGGATGTGTGTGCTTATGAGAGAGAGAGAGAGAGGTAGAGAGAGAAGGCATTTTGCAATGGGGCATGGACATGCCATAATCCTTTTATGTCCAATTCTCTATGCCATTGGGATTTTGGTTCTGCTCTCAAAGTGTCTTTCAAGCCCCTGGGGATGAAATGTGAACCAAAGTCAACCCTGTGGGATTCAGCTCCCTGTGCATAATGCTTAACCACTGTGCTACAGGACCAGCCCTGTCCTGATGTTTTAGAGCATTTATCCCCACCTGACAAGTTATATATTCTTGACTATTCTTTTCATTGTCAGCATTACACCGCTCGAGGGTAACCTTCACGAGGGCAGGGACTTTGTTTTGTTCACTACTACCTGCTTAGTAACTGAAACAGTACCTGACTCATAGTGGACACTCATGAATTATCTGTCAAATAAATGAGTAAATGATAACCAATGAATTATACATCTGAAATGCTTTGAATTTGAAATAGTGTGTTATGGGAAGGTCTAACAGAGCAACTGACTAAGCCAAGAGTCTGTTTTCCTCTCAGAAAGCTGAACTTTAAAGAGGAGAAGGCATTAGCTTGGCAAAAAGCTAGAAGAAAGCATTGAAGACAGAGAAGTACATCCAGTTTCCCTAAGGCAGGACAAAGCACAAGTGTTGGAGGGAATGAGAGTGGTTTTCATCTGGGTAGCATGGTGAGTGAAGGCATAACAGTGTGAAAAATAAACAAAAGTACCCATTTGTTGTGCTGTTAACAAAGAAGAGGGGCTGGAACAGCAGGCAGCATGGAAACTACGGTGCTAGATTTACATGGCTGACCATGCAGTTCACGTTCCAGACCGGGCAGATTGAAAGACATGCACATGTCTGCCTAAAATCCTCAGAAGAGAATGCAGGAGAAGGGGTTGTGGCCTGGTCATCCCCCGTGGGGGATCTTTTATTTTCTCTCTCCCCATCTCTCTCTGGCAATTATTGCACTCTATAACAAAAACCATACATACATACATACACACACAAAAGTGAAAAAGACAGAGTCCACTTTGGGAGCTTAGAGTACCCCCGACAGATGTGAGGACAGCTGGAGAAGGATGCTAACTGTAGTTTCAGACTTTGGCAATGGGTAAGGCAATGGTATTTGGTAGACAGCTCTGAGTATCCAGAGAAAGGTCAGGGATACAGAAAGACCAGAGTGTCATAGGTACTGGCATGAGCTGAAGGTGAGCGAGAGGTTTGAGATGGTATGCATACATAGACTATGGATGGCAGAACACTCCTCTAAGTAGAAAAAGGGGGAGGAGGAACTAGTCAAGTGGGCAGAGGAAAATGGGTGGGAGAGCAGGATGACACACCTGCAAAGAGGCCCAAAGAGAAAGTCCTGGGTACCAGTTAAGAGATCAGACTTTGGAGTAAGACTGCTTCAGTTCACATCCCCTGCTTGGTCCAGCTGGTTGTGTACTGGTTAAGGTTGATCCCATATTACCAACTGTGTGCTTTGAGTTCTGGATCCTGTGGCTTGAAAGGGACATCTGTGTGTGCCAATGCCCAAAATCCCAGGAGGAGAATCCTAGGAGGAGAAGGGATTGTGGAGTGGTTATCCACGTTGCTCGGGGGTAAAGGGGGCTCTCTCTCTCTCCCTCCCTCCCTCCCTCCCTCCCCCATGTGTGCATATGCATCCCATTGGAAATTTAAAACAAAACTAAACAACAGCTCTGTCACTTCCTATGACACTTCCATTTCCCTGGAGCTCAGAGGCCTCTTCTCCACAATGGGGATCATCTAGAGTCTGCCTTGAAGGCTATAGGAAGTGTTCAGTGAGCTGACATACAGAATGTAAGCTGGCTGAGAAAAAGTAAGTGCTCAGTAAAGCCTTGTTTTCAAAAGGGAAGGCATTAATTAGCACAAAGGATAAAGGCATGATCTACAGAAAAGAGGCCACAGGGATGACAGTGGAGATTGCATTTCTTATTTCTCTCTTTTTTAGAGAGAAATTTTTTGTATATGGCAAGGGTACTCACTGGAGAGACAGAAAGACAGGGAAACAGAAAGCAAGAAATCATCCCCTAGGGGGATGGCCACACTGAAATCTCTCCTCCAGTCTCCTCTTGGGATTTTGGGCACACATGTACATGTGCCTGAAATGAGTTTAAAGTCACCAGGTCCAGGACATGAACCACAGTCAACCATGTGGGAATCCAGAGACATAACTATTACATCTCTGCTGGTCCCTGGACCTGAATTTTCTGAAAAACAAAATCCAAAAACAATGCCACTCTACTCAGAGATGAGCTCGATCAACCTGATGTTTAGGCAAATTGGCTTCTTGCCCTGTGATCTGGGCTCACCCCCAGGCTTTGCCTCCCATCTTACAGTCTCTGGAATGCGGGAGATGGGTGAGGGTAAGTTGGCACAGACATGTGAGGGCATAGGCACACACATAGGGGAGTGGAAGGCCCCGGGCAGCTTTGGTTAAGTCCTGGTTTAGTCCTGGGGAGGAATACAAGAGGAAAGGCGGTCAGAGGAGCTGGTTCTGGGAAGAGGACTGTGGAAGTGCGGGCAAAGGTGTGGCTGGGGGCAGGGGTCCTGGACTGGGTCCAGCTGAGATTCAAACTCCGGGGTCAGGCTAGGAGGACTCCTGAAAGGGAGAGTGTCTGGAGGACTAGATAGACGATGGCTCCCTGGAGGTGAAAATCTGGGACTAGAAAGTCTGAGGCAGAGCTGAAGAGTCAGGGAAGGGACTGTGAATTGATGCACTTTTGCTCTGCTGTCCAAGCCCTGTTCACCTCCTGAGCCCCCTGAGGTCCTAGGCCTCTGTGTCAGAGGTCTGCGGGGCAGGATGGAGGGTCCAGGGCTGGCCAGGATGGAGGGTCCAGGGATGGCCGGGGAGCAGACCCCAGGTCCCTCAGGTACAAACCTCTGAAATGAAGACCATAGTCGTCCCTCCACACCCCCCCAAGCTCTGTGCCCATCAGTAGAGAAAAAGCCCTGCCCCTCCGGGTGGGCGGGGCCGGCGTCTGCAGTTTCCATTGTGACTCCAACCACCCCTACTGGCCAGAGGCATTCTGGTCACGCCCTCTTCTCTTTTATGCTTTTCATAAGCCAATAGGATTGGAGAGTTGAGGCTACACCCATGCCCCTGAGGCATGGAAATGGCCAGTCCAACCTGCCGGCTCAGTCGCATAGCTGCAAGGTAGGGAGCATCTGCTGGCTCAGTCGCATAGCTGCAAGGTAGGGAGCAGAAGGATTTTTGCAGTGGTTGACTTGAGCGCAGTGATGTGGTCCCATCCCTTTCCCTATCCCTGCCTTGAGATGTCGGAGGAAACCCGTCGGAGAAAGTTGGCTTCAGCCAAGAAAATGGTAAAACATGCAGGGTCGTGACCCCCTGACCCAGCTCAAGCCCATTTCTATGGCCAGGTAGTGGGCAGAGTCTGTGCCGTCTAAGGCACACGAAGAGATCCCCTTGCACCTCTTGGCTCCCTGTTACTAAAGTCCTCTCAGCCAGCTCCTGCCCTTCCTGGTCATCTCTGGCTGACCTTGGACTGGTGATGCTTCCAGCTTCCCACACTAGTCTCAGCCCAGATATTCTGCTACCCCCAAATCGGACCTCCCCAAGGAAGGGACAGATTCTTAGGGCTCCTGTGGCCTAGAGCCTGCGTCTCTGCCCTGTGCCTCTCTACCCTCCATGGAGCAGCAAATCTGGATTGCTTGGGCCAAGTGGAATATAGTTATATCACTATCCCCCTGAGAACTGTCATTGTCCCTGCCTGATTGATCTTCTAACCCAGTCCCTTAAGTGTATTCCTCCCATTTGGGGGTTTCTCTGGTGGCTGCCCAGATTCCAGCTGGAAGGCTACTCGGGATTACAGGTGTCCATATTACCTTATCTAAGACATTGACGGTGCGACAACTCTACACTTCAGTAGTGACCCCAAACGTTGACATTATCTCTGGGTGACAGTGGAAGGAGTTTGACTTGGTTTGGTTTTCTCCCCATTTCTACTCTCCAGAGGTACTTTACTTTTCCCCCTGAGTTCCCTATCTCACATTAGAATTACCCCTGATTCTGTGACCAGAACCCCTTCAATTGGTGCTCTCTAGAGGAAGAGAGTTCCTCATCTTTGGATCTGAACTTCACAGCATGAATTGTCTCCAAATTGTCATGGCATCCTGGAGTGTTCTGAGTGTCACGGGATAAATATGGGGGAGATACATTTTCAGTTTTGCTTGTTTCTCTTGAAAGAAAAATATATTAACATATTTCAGTGATGACATTTGCATAGATTTGTAAGTTTTTCATAGATCACTCTGAAAAGCTGCTTGGGGTGTCCCCTTTCCGTTAGGTTCCCAGATTCACTAGGAGTGTGCCTTAGCTGTCTTCTGTCCCTAGGATACACGTTATCAGTGTACTTCTTCAGTCATTAAATGCTCATTACAATGCTCTGTACAGACGGTAGTGGCATGTGTAAGAATAATTTGTAAAAACTGCAGCGTGTGAATTGGGAGGCTTACAATTCTCCTAAGTATCGTTTCTTTTTCTTTCCACAGTTGAGAGCATATCAGCAGAAGCACAGGCCTGCTGATCTTGCAGCAAGGAAGAAGAAAACAAAAAATGGCAGTACCCCTGAGACAACCACCTGTGGTGGCTGCCACTCTGAGGATGTGAGTGTTGTCTGACCAGCCTTCTGTGTTAATTTTGACCAGAGAGAGACACAGAGAGATAGGGAAAGGAAAAGCATTCCACCAGGTCCAGGAATTACACTGTGGTCAGCCATGTGGGAATATCCAGCTCCTTAACCACCATGCCACCTGCTGCCACCCCCCACCCCCCCCTTTAAGCCATGTTATCAGTGTATTTCTTCAGTCATTAAATGCTCATTACAATGCTCTGTACAGATGATAGTGGCATGTGTAAGAATAATTTGTAAAAACTGCAGTGTGTGAATTTAGAGGCTTACGGTTCTCCTAAATATCAGTTCTTTTTCTTTCCATAGTTGAGAGCATATCAGCAGAAGAACAGGCCTGGTGATCTTGCAGCAAGAGTGAAAAAAGCAAAAAATGGCAGTACCCTTGAGAAAACCACCTCTGGTGGCTGCTACTCTGAGGATGTGAGTCTTGTCTGACCAGACTTCTGGGGTTAGGAGGCTTAAGGGGCAGTAGAGGGTTATGATTAAGAATGTGAATGAAGGGACCAGCAGTTAGCATAATGGCTATGTCGCTGGACTCCCATGTAGTCGACCGCGGTTTGAGTCCCGGACCTGGTGGCTTAAACTCACGCCGGGCACGTGTGCGTGCGTGCCCAAGATCCCGAGAGGAGAATGGAGGAGAAGGGATT